CTTCGAGTTCTTATATAAGAAATAAAAAGTACTTATATATAGAGCTATAATAGATATAGATAATTTAATTAAAATAAAAGATATTTAATAATAAGAATAACTTATAAATATAGATTAATTTCTAATAGAATTATACGAAATATAGTTATTATAAATATACGAATCTTCTTCTTAAAGAGAAATTAATATTCTTTTTATACTACTTATTTAGAGATTTAGATCTAGAATATTTACGTCGCTAGCTACTACTATAAGACTTTAAAGATTATTTTAATTTTATAATTACGATGATAAGATATAGATAATCGCGGAAAAAGAATTCGGTAATAGAGTCTTAGCCCCCTTTTTTAAGGGGCTTTTAAAGGTCTAAAAGCTAATATTAATAAGATATTCTTATTATTTCAATTTTAATAAACTTATAAGCGTATTAAGAGATAGTAGTATTAACTCTAAAATACTCTAGATTACGATTAGACTATTAATATTAATATTTAACTACTTTTAATTAATAATTATTAATTCGATAATTAATATATAGTTTTAAACTTAATATTAATATAAAATAACTTTACTTTTAATAGAGTTAAGTATTTTAATTTAGCGAAAGCTAATAAGATTTAGAGGCCTTAATAATATAACTTAATTATATAATAATATAATTATATATTTAATATATTTAGCGAGTTTAATACTTCGACTAGAGATAATATATCTTAACTCGCTTAGAGTAGAGGCGAAAGCGACTCTTAGCTTCTTATATTATTAATAAATTATATTCGCTTAGATTTACAATTATTTTAAGAGAAGGAAATATCTTTATCAAGAAGATTAAAAGAATATCTTTATAGCTACTATTACTTCTATATAATAAACTTTAAATATTATAAAATAGATATTAAAAGTCTAAGAGTAGTCGTAGTTATAGAGGTAAATAGTAGTTATAATATAATAGTTATTAAGTAGAGTTTAAACTTATAATCTATAGAAATATAAGATAAGATACTTAGTTATTAATTATAGAGTTACTATAAAGAAAAGAGCGACTAGATATAAATACGCTAAGGCGTATTATATAACTATATTACGTAATCGCTAAGAGTCACGTAACTCGAATTTCAATATAATTTAAAGCTTATAAATATTTATAATTAAGATTTATTCTTTCTTAATCTCTAAGATAATTTAAATAATATTTTAGCGATATATAGTATTTCTTTAAATTCGATTTATTAACTCTAATATATTTATATAAATTATTTAAATTAGTAGAATTTAAATAGATTTTTTATTATAGCGATAAATATAGATTTTATTAAGAATATCGCGAATAAATATACTTATAAGTACTATATTATAAGACGCTAAAAGGCTATTTCTTATATTAATCTTATTACACTCGATATATAATTAAGCGAATTTATTTATAGTAATCTTATAAGGCCTCTATTCTCTATAAATTTTAATAATTATAAATACTTTATAATATTTAAGAATAATTTTATCTTCTACTCTAAAGTTTACTATATTCGCTATAAGAGTAAGATCTTTATTATATTCTTATAATTTAAGGCTTATCTTAAGTTATATAATTATAAAATCTCTTATATTTATCTCGATAATAAGAGCGAATATATATTTAAAGTTTTTCTTAATTATCTCGCTCTATTAGATATTAAGTAGAAACTTATTATCTCTAATAATCTTTAGATAAATAATATAATTAAGCGTTTTAAATAAATCTTACTATATAAGATATATTCTATTTTATTAAATTTTAATCTTAATAAATCTTTTTAGTCTAAAATTGTTATTATTGCTAATTATTTAATAATATAATCGCTTAATATTAGAATTATCGTAATTTCTTTTAAGATCTTTTATTAATGAAAGTTTATTCTTTTTTATTTACGTATAATTAATTCTATTATTTACGCGATAAAATAAATTTAAAAGAAATTTATAGATTAAAGTGAAAAGTGTGTTTTATTAGAGTATAAGAGGGAGTATATCTTTTAACTATATAATCTTATTAAGAAGATAATTATTCGCGTTAATAGCGTATACTTTATAAAGAAATAGCCTCTAATTATAAATTTGAAAGAAGAAATTAAGGTTTATAAGTTTTCGAATAAGTAGTAATATTTAATAATATTAGTATTTACTATAGAGAAGGTATTAAATAAGTAGTATATTATTAATATTCTAAAAGACGTTGTATTAGTAACTAGAATAGCTATTAAATCTTTAATAGCTTTAAGATCTCTAGTATCTATAAAGCTAAGGCTAAATTTTTTTTAACTAATTAATAAACTAGCGCCTTCGCGAAGATCTATATAAGAGTTTTTAATATAAAATCTTTAATTAATTATATAAAAGTCTTTAGCTTAAGCGCTCTTAATATAAGTTACTCGATTAAATATTATATTTATATCTATATTAATAATTCGATTTACGCTATCTATATAAGAAATTTCCTTAAACTTAGATTTATTATTTATTATTATTAAAGTTATATAAACTATTCGCGAAGATTATAAGTTAAATACTATTTAAAGAGTATTATATAATTATTTAAATCTTATAATTTTAAATCTATAAGATCTATTCTCTAACTCTCTTTCGAAAATCTTTATAATATTTACTCTATTTATAAATTATATTAATAAGTTAAATATTTTTAAGTCTATTATTTATAAGTGGACTATATCTAACTAGCTATTTTAAATAAATTAAAAACTTTTTATAAAGAATAAGTATAAATCTCTTATGAATAATAATACTTAATATCTTATTTAGACGTCTTTTAAGACTTATATTCTAAGAGATAGATAGATTTATATCTTAAAATAAGATCTTAATAAAGAAATTACCCGCTATAAGATATACTAAATTATTTAAAAATTCGAATAATAGAAGGGCTATAATTATTATAATACTTTCGTATTAATAATAAAGTCTATAAATTATAAGATAATCTTTATACTTATAATTATCTTAAATTAGAATCTAAAGTAAATAAATATTAAAATTATCTTTCTATATAATAATATAAAGAAAGAGATTTATATATATTAATTTAATAGCTTTAATAAAAATAATATTAAAATTTATAAGTTAAATAAGATACTTTATAATTTAAAGTAATTCTCTTAAATCTAATATTAGCACTTCTCGAAGTATATAAAAAAACTAGATTTTCTCTCTATTAAATTAAATAATAGCGTATTTATAAATCTTAAAAAGAGTACTATTATAGCGCTCTATATTAATAATATTTTAATTATTAATCTTAATAAAGCTAGAATTTAGCGGATTAAGAAAGATCTTAATGCGAAGTTTTATATATTAAATTTAAAATTATATATCTACTATTTAAATATAACTATTAAGAGAAATTATTATAGCGATATTCTTCGCCTAAGATAAGAGACTTATATTATTTAATTTTTAAATTATTTTAACTATTAAAACCTTATCTCGATATCGATATTTTTTAAAACTAATTATAAATTAATTTTCGCTAAAAAAAACTATATCGTCTTAAGGAAATTATAAGAGAATTATTAATTCGCGATAGAATCTCTTATATATACTATACTCGATACTTATTTTAATATTATCTATGCGATATTATTAATAAATTACTACTTAGTTAACTTAACTTTAACATATTAAAATATAATTATTTAAATCTTTCGATATCTAAGAGATATAGTATATTATAAACTCGTATATAAAGACTTTCTTTAAGAATTTATCGATTATATTAATTCTAATTAAATTAATAATATAACTCGAAGATTTATATCTAGCTATTTCTTTAATATAAAAAATAACGTAATTAGTTAATTATCTAAGCGTTAAGTTATTATAATATTATTTATTTATAAAATAAAGTATATTAATTAGACGTAGATTATTAAAGAAGTAATCTAATTAAAGAATCTACTTAATTAACTTCTTTATCTTAATAACGTAAATCTTAAAGTTATTATTATTTTCGATAATAATTAAAGCGTAATTACTCTTATAAAGAATACTTAGTTTTATACTTATATTAAGTATATTAATATTATTTATTATTTCGTATAAGAAAAGATTAATAATAATATTATAAATATATAATATATTTCTATTAATAAATAGATAGCTAATAAACTTATTAAGGCTCTTTACTTAAATAAATTTATTACTTTTTAAGATACTCTTAGAGTGAAAACTATATCTACTCATCTCTTCGATAATCGTTAATTTTATTACTATCTTAATATAGTCTTAATATAATCTTAATTTAATAATATCTAATAGAAAAGCTATTCTATTATATCTATATCTGAATTTAGAGAAATCATCTACTATTAACTACTTTAGAAAAGCTATTTTATTAATTCTTATACTATAGATAATCTATTTAAGTCGCTTATTAAGTCGCTGTTACGAGCGTACCCTTGACACACCACTCAGCCCTATGGCCTAGTGCCTTGGCGGAGGCATCCCCTACTATATCATGCCTCCTTCCCACATACATAGTTCGGTAGCCTTATTATCCTATCTACCTCACCCATACTGGTATCGCACCTATGCTGGTCCTGACATTATAATAAGGCTCCTTCGTACACCCGGCGAAGAGAAACACATACGGGCCAATCAACGCACACTCACGTCTATTCGGATTAGCGGACGAATGGTTAATAAACAAACGCGCTGGCAAGGGCTTTGTCAAGATACTAACTTGAGACCAAGACACCACGACCGGTTGAGGTCAAGACAGGAACTTGAGGCATCGTATCCTTGGGTCAGCCCACCAAACGGGTAATTCGTTTCGGCATGACGGAACGGCCTCTGGACAGCAGGAGGGATAAAGCACCACTGGACCATTCGTACTGCAAGCGAATCAGAAAGAAATTGACAGACAACACCACCCCACCATAGTGAGCCTGCTACAATGGCGACGGGAACAGACCCGACAACACGATTACGATTCGACCTCTTTACTGAGCATGTCGACAACACACACAGTGAGCCTGCTACAATGGCAGCAAACGTACGATCTCTTCACTGAGCATATCGGCAACACACATAGTGAGCCTGCTACCAAATGGCATTCAACACATTCGATTCTTCCCAGCCTCCTACCTCCCTACCAGACCCTACGAATCGACAAGTGCATGAGTTTACGGAAGTGGTCTATGTCAGTCAGGTCATTGGCTGCTGAGTACTCGCTATGGCAGCTTAGGACGGGTAGGCCTACGGGGTACCGGCAGTCGAAGCGGTAGGCTTACAAGGCGGATGGATGCAATGGATAGCACTACGAAGCAAGATGGCTACGAGTTAAGACAAAGGGTATAAAACCGAGGATGGACTTGATGGCAAGAGCATGAGAGACACAGGGCAAATCTACAGTGAAGCTCCCAGGCCAGGCTGCCAACAGGTGTTGAGGGGGTTTCATCATATATGTATGCGTTGGATTTTCTTCAATTCTACCGAAGGACTATGGCAAGAAGACTGGGCAAGAGGCTGGAGAAGAGTATGGAGAATCTTGCTGGTACGCAGGCAAGATGTGGCTACATCTCCAGGATCTCTGAAGGACAAATGTGGGCATGGCACAGTCAAGACCAGCATGCGATCCGGCAAAACCTCGGACATGGTGTTTTTGAACGAATTGAAACCATCCGATGTTTTCGACTACTACCACTACACCTCGGCAAATCGTCTCCGGTCGAGGCCTACACGGACTATGGATGTTTGGAGACACAGGGCAAGCAATGGGCGTGCATCTCCGGTCTACCAGCCATGGGGGCCATGGCTCTTTGAGAGGGGGGAGTACTGTTACGAGCGTACCCTTGACACACCACTCAGCCCTATGGCCTAGTGCCTTGGCGGAGGCATCCCCTACCATATCATGCCTCCTTCCCATCTACATAGTTCGGTAGCCTTATTATCCTTGATCTACCTCACCCATACTGGTATCGCACCTATGCTGGTCCTGACAGTCGCTATATTAGATTTAGCACTTAGCGAACTTATTAATCTATATCAAAACAGCTATTTCTTTAACGCTATTACCGCTATCGTTATTAAACTTTTAAAGCTCTTTTAAGAAACTTATATTTATTTATTATTAATATCTTAAATATTATATCTTCAAATTATCGCTATTATAGTTATTATTATTAAGAATTAAATATCTAGAATAACTCTTATAGAGAGTTTAATAGTCGACGATATATAGCTAGAAGAATTTCTTTTAATTATTTTATTTAGCTATCTTTATATATATTCTTCGATCTTAAATTAATCGATTTTTAATATATATTAGATAATTTGAAAATAAAATTTTCGAAAAATCGCTTTTTAATAAAAAGTGAAATTTAGATTAAATTTTAATAGGGGACTAGTTTGATATAGTTATTTTTAGATTTCGACTTTTTATCTTATCTACTCTATTTTAAATATCGCGAACTTTAAATCTTATATTTTTTAATTTTATTTATATAAGAGAAATAGAGATAAAGGGGGTATAAGAAATATATCTTTACGCTAGCTACCCGGCGCTAACTCACTCTAACTACTTAACTTAAATTTTACTTTAATTATCTAACGCTAACTTACTTTAATAATTCGACGAAAATCGATTAAATTATTTTATCTTATTTATCTAATTTTAAACTCTATTAGTATTAAGCTTCGTATTTACTAAGTTTTATCTATAAGAGAATATATATAAAGAAGAGTATTAAAATTCGAGTTATATAACTCTTAGCGGTTACGTAATATAGTCACGTGATACGCCTTAGCGTATTTATATCTAGTCGCTCTTTTCTTTATAGTAACTCTATAGTTAATAACTAAGTATCTTATCTTATATTTTCACAATAATATATATTATTATTAACGCGTATTTAGATTTAGAAATCTATATCTCTTTAATAAAAACTTGCGATATAAAGATTTTCTCGCTATCGATATTTATTAAAATAATTATTTTACGCTTTTTATTTAGTATAATAATTTTATCTCTTAATAATAGAGAGCGAGATTATTACTTAATTAATAATATATTTAATACTATAGCGATAAATATTAAACTTTATCTTTTCTCTTATCTAATTTATAATTATATACTTTATTACTTATAATATAATTTAAATATTTAAATAAATTCTTATAATATCTTAGCTACTTATAATTATAATATTATATTTTAATAAGAGATATCTTAAATTTAATATAAGAGTTATTATCTTCGAATTTAATTTATTTAAATTTTCGATTTTATAACGTTAATAAGAATAAACTCTTCTTTTAATCTTATTAGCTTTTTATATATTATTCTTTAAACTTAATATATTATTAATTACTACTTCTCTAATTACTTATCTTATTATTAAAGCGAGTCTTATCTAAAATAAAGAGCTCTTTTATTTTTTATAATCTTTATTTTATATTTTAATACTATTATAATAATATAATATAGATAATAAATTAAATAATCTTCTTTATAGCTTTTAGAGAAATTTTCTCTATTATTTTATTTTATAAATTTTTTATATATTCTAAATTAATTATATAGTAGTTTTACTATAATTAGAGTATAGTAAAATAGTTATTAAAACTAATTATCGATTATATATCTCTTATAACTACTTTAATTAACTAGTATCTTATATTATAAGACTTAATAATTAAATTATAAACTTAATTTAAATATTATCTCTTATATTTCTTTTAGATAAATTTCTTAATATTATATAATATTATATTCTTAATATTTCTTTAAATCTATTTTTTAATATTTACTAAGAGAATAAAAGATTAATAAATCTTTTCTTTATTTATATAAAAATTAATATAAGATATCGAGGCGATAAAATTATCGTAGTTTTAAAGAAATATAATTATCGAGTTATAGTTATTAAGATATTACGTATTAGATATCTTAATAATACTTATTTTTTTATAATTTAAATTACGATAGTAATTATTATTATACTCGCGACGATATTTTTATATATTTTATATTTTAATTAGCTTAAATTTTTCGATAATTAATTACTTCTTAATATTAAGCTCTAGAAGTCGATAGCGTTAGATTTAAATTAAATTTATAAGATAAAAATCTTTATCTATAGATAGAGATTTATTAAATATAACGCTTTAACGATTATTATTTCCGCTAATAATATTATTAGAATTTTTATTAATATTAGAATTAATATTATAATCGCTTAATTACGTAATAGATATATTTTAATAAAAATCGCTTATTAGATTAAAAACGTCGTTAATTAATAATAATAAGATATTTTTACTTTATAAATTAATAGAATTAACTCGCGAGTTACTTACTATAATTAAATTAAATAACTTTATATAAATAAAGTTATTAGAATTATAAGATAGTAATATCTCTTTTAATAGAACTACGTAGTAGCTATATAATTATAAGATCTAGATACGTAGTTAATAGAATAAATAAATTAATTATTAGATAAATTAATAATTAAAGAAAGAAGAAGAGGAAATAGAACTTATAAGTATTTAAGACTTCGTTAAATATATTAAATACTCGTCTTAGCTACGTAGCTTATAGTCTAGTAAGCGATATAAGCGAGTCTATTAGTTTACTCTAAGTACTTTTACTCTTATAGACTTATAATTATTAAAATAAGAATCTTCGAATATATTAGCTCTACGGGATAAAGATAAAAAAAATTAAGTACTATAATTTATCTAATAGTAGTATTCTTATATTAATTATACTATTTCTTTATAAGAATAAGACTTATTATTTAATCTATAATTATATACTAGACTTTATAAACGCTATTAAAATTAATTTATTTATTATAAATATTATAAATAAATAAGTAGCTTAAGAATATAAGATAGCTTAAGTCTATTAAGTTATAAAGAAAGTTAAATAAATAGTTAATTTTAACGCTCTAAAGACTATTAAAAATAAATATCTTAATCTTATTTATATTTATAACGTTAAGACTAAGTTTAAAAGAGCGTATTTAAATAATTAAATTTATAAAGTTAAAGTAAATTAATTAGAGTAGTAAGAGATTTATCTAACTAATCTAAAGAGTTAGAAAAATATCTTTATTTAGAATATTATCGTTATAAGATAGATTAATAATAAGATTACTTATACGATTATATTTGCGAAGAAATATAAGTAAAAGAATATTTTTTAATAATAGTATTTTAATTTATTATAAATTTACGCTAATTCTATTTAATTAGCTCGTATTAATTTTCTAAAAAAATAAGAGTATCTCGCTTTTATAGATTTTATATATAATAGTAATAATTTTAAGTAAAAGCTATTTACTATAGCGGCTTATAGTAAATATAAATAATAAACTTTATATACTTATATAATTTTTTAATTCGAGAATAATAATATTATAATAACGTTTTTATATATAATAAAGAAATAATATAAAGAAAGAGATAGCTAGCTTCTTCGATATATAATTATTAATAACTTTTTAATTAAATAGAGAGTTATTAAGCTAGCCTTTTATAATTTAGAGATAAATAAATAAGAGATTTAATATCTACTATATTATCGATATTATAAATAAATATTAAAGTAAGAGTTAAGTATTAATAATTATAAGAAGTTCTTCGAATATCTTTATAAAGTACTCTACTTTTAATTTATATATATTAACTATCTAGAATTAATTAATATAATATTAAATATTACTTTAAAAAATTAATAAAAGTATATTAAGCGTTAATAATTGAAAACTAGAAAGCTTTAGAGATATTATATTAAATAATATTTATACTTACTACTTTAGATTTTAGATATAAATCTAATCGAATTATAATATTATTCGCTTAAGATTTATAAGAAGAATAAGAGAACTATACTTAAATTTAGTCTCATTAATATAGTATTATATATTTTAAAAATCGATAATTAATAAAAGCTTTATTATTATAAGATCGTACTTAAATAGCGAGTTTATTAAATAGCTAAATATACTTAATATCCCGTATTAATAAAGTTTTCTAAGTCGATATAAGAGCTTCTTATCGAATAAAATTAAAAAATAAGAGACGCTATAAAAAGAGATATATCTACTCTATTTTTAAATAGCTTTATTTATTAATTATTTAGATAAAATATTAAAAGAAGATTTAACGAATAATCTCTCTTATTAATATCTCTTTTATTATTAATATTAGCTCTTATACTTTTATTTCTAATAATTTTACTTTATAAATAACGCTTTTAGCGATAGCGATTAAGAGTAATAGATCTATATATTTTAAGAGAGAAACTTTAAGATCTATAAATCTATAATAAAGAAATACGTTATTAAGAATATTTATAAGAAATTAAATAACTCTAATAAGTATATACTTAAGATATGCGAGATACTTAATAAGATTAAGATTAAATTCTATAAATTAAAAGAGAATATCGTATTATAGAAGAATAATAATAGGGCTTATATCTCGACGTTATAAATTATTATACTTAGAAAAACTATTAAGCTAATTCGTTAATAGAGAGTTTAATTAATTTTAAAGAATCTTATTAATATTAACTATAATATATTTAAATTATAGATATTTATTAACTTTATAAAGATTTTAATAGATAATAAGAATAAGAGTTAGATAGCTAGTTAAACCTCTAATAAAACTCTTATAAAGCGATAATAAGATAGATTTTATCTTAAGACGCTAGAAATATTAAGATAATAGCGATGATTTTTTTATTAGATTTCGCTTTAATAGCCTCGAGATATTATAATAATAACGATATCTTTCTACTTAAATTTTATCTAATCTTATTAAGTTATTCTTCGCCTTATAAAAGATAATAGCGAGGTCTCTTATTATAACGTAAACTCCGCTATATCTTCTATATAAATCTCGCTTTAATTAATAGTAATATCAGCGAGTATAGCTAAGAGATTTTCGATAATAGCGATAATAATAGTAAGATATTAGTATCGTCACGCTTTATTTTAATATAGCTATTATATAAATCTAGCTTAGCCACCTTATAAGTACGCTAATAGTATTTTTCTTAGCATTGACTGAGGTATAAAAGCTACCCGTTTTCGGGAAGGCGTGGCATGGGCCGATCTCAATTCAATTCTTAATGACGATGCAAGGTACAACAACTTTCTTCCTGATATAACGCATTTCGATCCTCAGACATTATAGCCAAACTCGCCTTGCAGCAAACCTGCCGACGAAATTCTTGCGCTGAAAACGAGCTTCAAATCACTGCGAAATTTGATTGCCCCCCCTCTTCCACCAGAAGCCTTCTATATCGCAAACCAATCAATTGTCGTCAGACACAACCAAATCATCACTCACCTCGATAATCACACGGCTCGAGTTCAGCTCGAGTCTGCAAGGAGGATGCGGGATTCCGGCTTCCACCCGTTCAAGGGTCGAGTCAGTAGGCACTTCGGCGAGACGGTACGCGACATGACGTCCGTATACAGAGTGAAGAGGCTGGATATTAGAGGGGTTTTAGAGCTGATCAATTGCGTGTAGCTTGGCCCAGACGCTGCATATCTGAGCTGTGAGTCTAGACATGCGCATGCCCGACCCGTGTACTGCAGTGGCTAATTGGAGGGTAGACTTCGATATACGATGTGTGTGCGTCCGTACAGACTCGATCATGGAGACTGCGGCTAAGAGTTGATAGTGATGAAAGAGGATATCGACACACTGAAGAATGACTGGTTGACGGACAACGTATGAAGGGTTACACCTGCGAGACCTGGGCATGGCTAATGGATCGTGCAGAGCATATCATTCTGGGAAGAGTACGTCCATCGCCAGGCTTAGGCTCGTCCTAGCACTATACGGCCACACCAAAAAGAACTTTCGTTCGGCGGGCTGACAGCGTCTACAGGTACCTCGAACGCGAATACCTCAATCAATACAAAAATGCCCACATCGTCCTCCTCCGCCCATCCATGTCCTTCATGCTCATGCAGACCCCTGACCCTCACACACTCAAAGAAGCCCTCCCCAATTTTTCGCGTACAACTCACATCTTCCTCCCCATCAACGACTGCCGCAATCCCTCAATCGCCGAAGGCGGCTCGCACTGGTCCCTGCTCCTTGTGAGCGTCGTCGACGGCGTGGCATTTCACTATGATAGCCTCAACCCCGCAAATAGAAACGAAGCTGGGTTGGCAGCGAGAAAGATTGGTCAGTTGTTAGGAAGACAGCTCCAGTTCATCGATCTGGCGGATTCCCCGCAACAGGAGAACAGCAGTGATTGTGGGGTTTTTGTTTGCATACAGATGAGACATTTGCTATTGAGAAAGCTGCTGATGGCGCATGCGAAGGAGAAGGTTAGTATGAGCATGGGAGGGAAGAGTGTGGATGCTACGCAAGGGAGGAAAGAGATGCTGAGGATTATTGAGGGGTTTAGAAAGGAAGGAGAGAGGCGGAGGTCGTAAGTGTTCGACGTGACCCATGTATTAAATATCTTTGCTGATCGTGGGCAGATCGAGTGCCAGTCCCTCACAGAGCCACAAGCATTCGAGCCAGAAGCCTTCGAGGAGCCCTCCGAGAATTGAGTGAAAGGCACGTCGATCTAGCGAATGATGGTGGTCGCATCGGTTTGCCTTTGCATGCTTGAGCGTTGGCGCTATCAGGGAAACTCCTCGGGACACACTGCAAAACATACTGCAGATTATACTGCAGAAAATACTGGCTAATCAATAGCTGTAGCAACATGATATGCAGGTATATTGCAAGGCTTCAAGCTGGCGCTGCTGCTCCACTGGTGGCCAACCTTCCACTTTTCAATTCCATCTTTCTGACCTCACATCTAAAGTGATCACGCCTGTCCTCGTGCGTATAGCAATATCCATCATGTCTACCGTCCTTCTGCGGCTCCTCTATGTCTGCATCGAGCGCGCCGGTCTTGCGTGATTGGGCGAGAAGGTGGGCCTTTGCCGCTGCGTTAGCGGATGAAAGGGAAGCGTGGACTTTGAGAAAGGCGAGTCTGCCTGGGTCTGTGTGGTGCTCGAAGTCCTTTCGAGTCACGGTTTACACGCTGGATACGGGGCCTGTAAGGCGGCTTGGGGGAATAGCAGCGATTATGTCAAGCGCTGGTAGAAGTCAATGGGACGCTGCGATGTGCAACATATTAAGTTGATGGCGACGTCCTGTTGGCTGAGGCTGGTAGTAGTGTACTCTTCGATATTTTGTCACATAGAGATATGGGTAGTCACGTGAACCCGCTAAAAAAATCGTATCCCGAGACTCCGTCTTTAGTCCCACGACACTTCAAATTACACACACTCTTACTCCGCACACACGGTCCAGCTCAAGACAGGCAAATCATCAACATCAATCTCGGCATCGGCCTCCTTTCCCAGAAGCAGCACCTTTCAACAGGCCCGCCACCATGTTTGGTGTACTGCGTCCCAGCACTCCTGAACGAGAGCGCATGCCAATCTCTCCCGGAGCCTCACCACCCCCACCACGCTCCCTTGCCCCAATGCCCCTCAGCGAGTTCAACTCCCGCGAAGAGCTGCTCGCCGGCTGCAAAGATTGGGCTGCTCACCAAGGCTTCGCAGTGGTCATTGCTCGCTCACGATTCAATCGCCTTTGGCTCAAATGCGACCGAGGCGGCACGTACGAGAACCGCCGCAACCTCACTCCCGAACAACGAAAGCGCAAGCGGGGCGAGAGTCGTCTGCTAGGATGTCAGTTCAAGATGCTAGCAAATGTGAAGAGAGACGGGGCTTGGAAGGTCGAAACTGAGGTGGCTGAGCATAATCACGGTCCCTCAGAGGACTTGAGCGCGCATCCTACGTTGAGGCGCATGACGGATGAGCAAGTGATTAAGGTGAATGAGATGTGTGATGCCGGTAGGAGCCCGGCCGAGACTTTGGAGGAGTTGAGGATTCTGTGGCCAGATATCAAGGTGTTGACGAGGGACATCTACAATGCGAGGAAGAAGCATAAGACTCAGAAAGAGCTGACTGAGCTGGCTGCTGGTCAGCCGGAAGAGCAGCCGTTTGAGGATCCGAATGGCGTGTTCCCTGGTCCGAGTACTAATGGAAGGTGGGCTTGGCTTGAGGATGGCGACGAGGTGATGAACAAGAAGTCTAAGAAGCGAAGGAGGACGGCTCCTGTACCACCAATTGCAGTGAATTCAGCGCTTGATCCTCAGCTACAGACTCCCAGTATCTCTTCTGCCTCTCAGCAACCTGTTTCAGAAGCTGGTCAACAGCTGCTCAATGATTTCAATCAAAATCATCCTCAGCCAACACATCTCCGATACGGAGAATACGATTCCGCACCTAACACCTATCCACGTCAGCCTACCGCAAACGGTCCCGCTGAGCATTTCCCCTCCTTTCAGAACGCAGACGATGACTCTAACACCCTCTCACCATTCTCCAACCACCAAGCCAACACCACTCCCTCCCGTCTACGTTCTCAACGCCAGAATGCTCCTACCGCATCCATGTCTGCAGCGGCTGGGACTCCCGATGCATCTACTGGCGGCGCGCTGGGAGACCCGAAAAGGCAGAGCGGGGAGTTGATTATCTCGAGGATTGAGCGAATGGAAAAGGAGCAGCGGGATCAGAAGGGCATGTTGGAGCAGATATTGGGGGCTGTGAGGGTGACGCAAGGGAATTCTGAATGATCGGCTCAGCCGAAGATCATGGATGACGGCGAAAACATGGTCGACTATTTGTGCAAAGCGTTGTAAATATGGTCTGTTCTTTGCATGGCCGCTTGAGTCCACGGTCTGTGATGCGGAGTGGCTTGACACTTCACGTTGCTATGCAGCCAGGCGTTTTAGATGCTTTTGCAGCAAGCAAACCGTGGCTTGCACAAACCGAGGTAGCATTGGGCTTAACAGCAAGCAATTAAATACCAGCAGCATTGTCAATCATGTTGTAGCATTTGCCCAACTCGCATCACCAACAACTATCACACTACCGAAGACAGAAAAAGTACGACCGTCTATATCAGCCCTTGGCTTCGACCTTACCCGTTATATTGAATCGTATCTTGCTACTTTAAAAATACCGCCATCTACGCCAAAAGCTGGAAAACATCCTACGCAAGTCGGCCCAAGGTAGTCTGAAAACGCAAAAGAGCCCAGCCTCAGCCGGCCTCTCCTCTCGTCGTTCGGTCCAAAGCCCTCCAAAGTCTCCAACGAGGGGGTTATATTCCAAGTGCCGTGGGTGAGTGTGGAGTAGATTGTTCCTATTCGACGATATTCGTCGATTCTTGAAATTTAGCCCATTGGACGGATGGTGGGACATGTGTTTTGGGGGTGGAGTCTTTGGTGTTAGAGATGTCGTCTTGTCGCTTTCGAACCCGGTTGAGTTTGACTATTTCGTCGTTACGTCTTGCTTCGGCGACCCGGATGGGGAGAGGGGCGTCTGGTGGTCAGTTTTCGTGGCATTGTAACTCCGTACGTATATGTTTTGATGGAGGGATCGATAGTCTTGGGCATATGGAGTTGGTTTGTGTCACTTTCAGTAGTGCTTTGGGCCACTTTGAACAGTGCTTTGAGCAGATTTTCCTCGGTCAAGATGTAATAGTATACTCAGTGCTTCGCGGGAATTTGAGGAAAAAAGGGGGACACGCCCGAATGAGTATTGAGACCAGCTCTTCGAGCAAGGACAGATGTTTCAGTCGAAGCTATGGACTTGGGCAGAAACAGGGGGAAGACAAGGGGGGCCTGGGGGTAGAACGACCAAGGACTCACCCAACAGTGCTTGTGTCTGGAACAAATATTGAGATCTCCTACATTGCTGCAGAAAGCCAATAGTAACGATCATAAACATTCGCAGCTTAAGCCGAGCTACTCAGACTTCACACACTTTTCACTTTCAAATGCATGGATTTCCAAAGTGGTGTTGAAAGGTCTTTCACGTTTCCGGAACGCCATATCTATGCAATGGGGTATCCGCGAGAGTTCCAAAAAGGCCAACCCAAGCTGGGCAGCTAACCTCCCTTAGTGGGCCTGGAGAAGGAGAAAAGCATCAGCGTATGGGCGGCACTTTTGAAGGGCAGTCTTTACCCCAGCTTCTCCACCTGCAAATCAATTCTATCCGTATTCGTCACTTTCTTGTCCTTCTTCTCATCTTCCTCAGCGCAACCGCAATCGTAGAAGTCTCCAATTTTAGAACAGTCGAAGAGATCTTTCCCCAGAGATTTATTGACTTCGTTATGAACGTGGCATGCCCAAGCCGCAGCGGATGAGCGCGACGAGACTTGCGGAGGGAACTTGTTGAGGATCTGACGGAAGTGACCAGCACATTCGCCGCTTAGAACCAACATCAGCAAGCCCCTCATAAGAAACTTTTGTCTGAATATTTTGACACTTACCATGGATAAAGCCGTGCAAAGAGATGTATGTAGGAAAAGAGCGCCGTCTGCTCGTCCTGCGAAGGCTTATCCGGAAACTTCGCCATGGTCGTGTGGAATAACTTCCACGCAGCTCTCCCTAATTCCGCTTTTATTGTCTCATTCCCAATCTTGCCCATGATCGCACCCCCTTTCAGCACATCATCGTCCACGCTGACCTGGTGTATGGGAATGGAGCTGAAGGTCGCATCTAGGTTCCTTCGTCCAGAGAACGTCCAAGTCAGGAGCGAGACAAGACCGACGGCTGTAACTAGTAGGAGGAGGAAGCGTCGGTTTGGTACCGTGCCCGGGGTAGGCATGGCGCCCGAGGCGGGGGGAGGTAGAACGTTGGAGGGTCTTCAGGTAAGGTCAGGCGGTTCCATGGGCGGTCATTTCAAAGTTCGCTGATCATTCGCGCGGTTCACTGGCAGAGAAATATAGGCAAACATCAAAGAAGGAAAATGAGATAGGAACCTAGAGGTTAGAGTACGAAGAACATCAGACGAAGTTCTGAGCCTTCACAATTCTGTAAGGCTGAATTATGCGCTTATGCAGGGACTCGGGCATGCATAGGTACCTTAAGCTTCACCGATATCGCCGCTCCCAGAAGCCCCAAAATCTCACATAAACACTCAGCAACTTTTTTTCCACCTCCTCGCCTTCGTCTCACCTTGATATTCTAGTCATTGACAATTTACATAAAATTTGCTCCCATCAACCCCGCGTAATGCCGTTTCCCCCGCCGCCTGTAGAATCCATTGGTATTGTAACACGGCTCCAAGCTTCAGGATCATTTCTGACAGCTATGCAGATTGGGACAACATAGGCTTCAAAGTCCGCGATGGTATGTGCGAACATGCAGGATCACACATATTTCGAGGTTATAACTCACGCAGTCAATGGCCACATCGAATCTTATTACAGCGTCAATACCGGCAAATGGAGTGAACCCCAATTCGTCGCGGACCCTTATCTCCGCATACACGGCATGGCACCTGCCCTGAATTATGGCGAGCAAGCATTTGAAGGGATCAAAACATTTCGAACACCAGACGACCAGATAGCTATCTTCCGCACGATGGCCAACGCAAAACGAATGGCCCACTCTGCCGGATTTGTCGCGATACCCCCTGTACCAGAAACACACTTCGTCAAATGCTGTCACCTAGCAGTAGGGCTCAACGCGGAACATGTCCCTCCTCATCGTACCGGTGCTTCCATGTACATCCGGCCCCTGGTATATGGAAGCTCCGCACACCTCGGACTAACCCCGCCCGAAGAGTTTACCTTTGTTGTCTTTGTGGTACCGGTTGGCGTCTTCCATGGCGTTCATCCCGTCGACGCCTTGATTCTTGAGGAGTTCGACCGAGCTGCGCCGGAAGGTACAGGATCCGCTAAATTAGGAGGAAACTATGGTCCTGTCCTGAAATGGAGTGAAAGAGCAAAGAAAGACGGTTTCGGTATCACGTTGCACTTAGATAGCAGAACAAAGACCGAGGTTGACGAGTTCTCAACATCTGGCTTCGTTGGAGTGCATAAAGAAGGAGAAAAGTATACAGTGGTTGTGCCAGACAGCAAAAGTGTGATCAAGAGCGTCACATCCGACAGCGTCTGCGAGATCGCAAAGTCTTTAGGCTGGAAGGTGGAATGTCGATCAATAAAGTACGATGAAATATCCACCTTCACCGAGATCATGGCCGCTGGCACGGCTGCGGCGCTGGTACCTATCAAGTCTATCACGATGAGGTCGAGGAACGACAAATTTATATATCAAGGCGGAAGCGATAAGCCTGGACCGGCGTGTGAGAAGCTCCTGACTACACTGAAGTCGATACAACAAGGCAAGATAAAGGACCCCTTCGGATGGCTGGACTACGTGAAAGAACCTAAAGGGTTCCCGAGCATCAATGGAGCGTCAACGGACGGCGTGAACGGCGTGGACGGTAGTGTAGACGAGCTACCTTAGTTCAAAAAGTGATTACAGGTCATTTTTTGCCTATGAGCTTCCAGTGGCTTGCAGGTTTCTCCATATTCATGACACTCTCTCATTTCTTCTCCCTCAAAGCCCCCTACCATCTGAAAAGGCTTTCTCCTACTGTCCCTTCCCTTGTCCGGATTCGATGTTCCTGCGGTTGGTTTTATACTCGCGCTAAGAGAGCAATGTTCCTCTTTTTTACTTGTCCGTGAGTCACAGCACAATTTTGGAAAGAATATATACAATGGATTTAACATTCCTCGACCCTTTTTCTTCTCTAAATTGTCTTCACCGTCAGACCAAAAAGTCATACCTCTAGAACATATCATCGTCCATTCTAGCGACTCTCTACTCTACGAAATCCGTGTCTAATTCCTCAGACTCCAATCCAACCCACATCGCAACAGTGCAAGCCAGTGAAACCCAGACCAACTATCAAACCCCACCAGGCGCCATCCCGAAACCCCGTCCCACGCACCTACATCATGAACACAACACCTCCCCGCCGCCCATCTCACACAACCCAACTCGATCGAAAAATCCCCCCCGCGACATCTCCATCTCCACCCCCAACCCTTTCCCCAAAACCTACCCGACAATCCCGACCCCGACCATCACCGCTCACTCCGCCAAACCCACCCAACAGTACGTGAGAGATTGTCCCCATCCATCCAGCTTACGAATAACACCAAGCTCAACCACATCGCGCCCGTGACCGTGACGTCTACGTTACCAGACTCATTTGGTCATCAATTCCGCATAGGCGAAGGCAGCGGTGCGGGCGTTGTGTGCCGAATGCGTGGGATAAGCCCCGGCGCGGGGTGGCTGATGAGTGAGCGTGTTTTGGACGTGGGGGGTGGGATGGGAAAGGGAGATGGGTGATGGTGGGAGGGGAGGGGAGGAGTTTGCGATTCTACCAAATTCCCATCAGGATCCCGCACACACACACTCTGGAGATGGCCCACCGCACCGGTCCTGTCAACTACCTTTCCACCTTCCAAGACCCTTGAGTAACACGTCAGTCTCCGCTTACGAGGCGCTCGCGTGTGCTGAAGATGATTGGCTAGTCTCTCGCCCCCTCACCAAGGTAGCTTTTGATATCGTAGCGTAGGACGAGAAACTGACGTACATCCACCTTCTGCTCCTGAAACGTCTGTAGAACTTCGCCCACGGGTGTATCGGTCAAGAAACACAGATCCCCATTACATTCTGGGCTTTTGGGCTCGAATTCGCGGCCAGCTTGGTGGAGATTGATTTTTTGGCAGCCGAAGACAAGTGCGTGCCTATCGTATCCTGGTCGGTCAGAGAACAAAGATCGGCGAAGGTCATTATGCAATGAGAATTCCAGAACTTGAGAATTGTTTGAGCATTTGTAGAGTACACGGCAAGGCGGGAATGCGCGATGATATGTATTTAATGTCACAGCGATAACGCCCTACGAGCTATTCCCCGACTGGATTGACTGGAAGGAGGAGGAGAATGGAGGTCCTGTGTACCGTTCCACATATCCAACTTTTGCAGACGTGAACACTTGGTGCTTCATCCCCAATAGCTTTTCGTAGAATGCAACGGTTGCCGGGACAGAGCGTACGGTCAGGACGATATTGTAGATGTTCGAAAATGTGCAAACGCTGCGAGAGCGGCTGGAGAAGGAGAATGGAGCGGCAGTGACAATTCTGAACCTGGGAAAGAAAGGCGTATGTGCTCGGTAAAGAAGCAACCGGGTTCGAAGCGGTACGTTGTGGACAAAGTAGAGAAACCGCAGATGGGACAGCAATGCCACCTGCTAAGCCCGGCGAAAAAAAGAAAGGAGCCGTGGGGAAAACCAAGGGTACTGAGAATGAAGCAGAGCAGCAGTCCAAGCCGAACAAGGCGAAAACGGCGAAGAACGGTACCGTTGCCAAAGACTACATTCAGAATGACGAGTAAAAGCTGACTCTCAACCCAAAAGCTCGCCGGTAGCCACGCCTGACTGAAGATCAAGCCCAGCCCAGACGACAGCATTATGCACGAGCAAGCCTGCCTCCATGGAGGATCTCAGGGCTCTCTATTCGGCTCGGATGCGTTGCGCGACGATGTCCAACGTCAATGACGGGATTCATTGGATATACGCTTCATAGAAGGATGTGAAAAAGGTCGTTGGCAAGATTGAGAGAGTCGTCATCTTACCTACGGAAACCTTTTCGCTTGCGGGATGCTTGAACCGATGCTGCCTAGTCCACGATCACTGCCACTCGTGCTTCTGTACATCACAGTCATGACGGGGACTCAGCCCTTCAAAGAGTAATCATGAACTCCAGTACTGGAAGCTCTATGTTGGGATCATCCCGATACTTCCGTCACAACTCTGACTGGAGGTAATATACTAAAACTTGATCATCCAGAAAAATGACAGTCTCAAACGCCGTGTTCGTCTGTTCAGAAAAAAAAATTGGGTATTTAGCCGAGAATTTGTGCTGTCATGAACGAGGTCCAGCTCCAACAGAGCCTTGGGCCAGTGGAAATCAACTCCTCGTAATACTAAGTCTCTATATTTTTAAGGACTCGTACCGCAGCAGCTGCGACTTTTTCTAGCAGCGCTATTCTCAGTAACAATTTCTGCCGCTGATATTGGCTTCCGGGCACCCACTGACGGCAGTCAGCCAGTCGCTCAGCTTCTGCTTCCTATCTTCCAATCCGAAAGACGGAGTCTGCACTAGAAGGACGCTTCGATTCGATTGCAATGCCGTTAACTCGCTCAGATGGGTATTGGGCTGGAATACACATCGTCTGGATGGAGAAATGTCGCAAGAGCGATGATGGCATAGCTTTAGCGATGTCAGAGTAGTACCAGCTTTAGCGTCAGAGACTTACAGAGCAATGCACATTGCGCCAGTCAAGTAATTGCTATTCGCGTTCTGAACCAGGCCGTTAACGACGAACACACCAAGGAAGACAGTTGCAGTCTCAAAAAAGTCAACGTGCAAAGTCATCGGCTCGTTTGTTATCCACCCTAGGATGACCAAGATGGGCAAAGTGAAGAGTAAGAGCTGCATACTGCTCCCAATGGTAACGAGAATGGTGATATCCAAATTATTCTTCCATGCGACTACGCAAGCAGACAGGTAGTCTGTTACATTCCCCAAAAAGGGAAAGAGTATAAAGCCAAGAAGTGACTTGTGTGCTTTCCAGATCGAACCTTGGATGCTCGACACCAGGGCCAACGTACAGAGCGTGATGCATGTAAGGCTGACAGCGAGCCAAGTGATGGCCGCGAAGGGTCGAAGCGACAAGTTGGCCGCGTCGGCAGAAGCATCTTCCTCATAGTTTTCTGGGTCCTCGTAGAAATAGTCGCTGTGGGTTTTGAGTGTGAACAAAAGGTATACGATGTACAAAGCCAAGAGTATTATCGCAATTCCACGGCTTATGAGCAGCATGAAATTTTCAACATGAGCCGGATCGTAGTTCTCTAGTATCATGTAGAGCGCTGATGGTATCAAGAGGCAACACAAGGCAAGGAGATTGAGTGAGGTAATACTTTTTGTCGTGAATGAATTGAAGGATCCCCGGCTGTACTTCATGCCGTGGGCAAAGAAGCACGAGCCCATTATCTGGCCTTTTTAGCAAAAACCACAGCGGCAAGAAGTCACCGTGAGAGCACATACGAGGAGAGAGTAGCACAAAACACTACCGATTACACTGAGTTGCACCAGACGTATTTCACCTTTGCATAGAGCTACTATGCCAACCTTGGCAGAATCAATAAAGACCCATGGCCTAATAGCGGTAGGTGTGACACATACAACAAACTCAACAAGGTTATCCGAAAACGCGACAAGCAACCTTCCCAGAGCTGGATTCGAGTTCGCTGACAAGTCTTCGCAAGCTGAGTGCACGAGACCAGATAATGGAATAATAGCCAAGAAATTGAATATAAGGACGACATCTGGGGCCAAGGGAGTAACAACAGCGACGAGTGCCAGAGGAAGAAAGACCAGTAACAGGTTCAGGTAGCTCTGTGGCAAAGGTTGTAACAGGTTACGATACCCTCCTGAGCGTTGGAACATCCGCCAGACGTAGCCCAGCCAACGTGACCACCAGTAAGAAGCTGGTCGAAATGCCGACTTTCGCCCCTACACGAAGGAGTCAGTATTCTAGTGAGTCATGATGCATATTTGAGCTGGATATCGGGAGAAATTGCGCGCGGAATTTGGCCTGCAACCCAAGATCCGATATGAACGAGGAAAAGATCAATCCCGAAGACGCGCAGCTGGTTTATGATTCAAATTCAGCGTTGCCATGATTGGGAAACTTTCAGTAAGTGACAAAGCATTCTAAGGGAGTACGCTACGAGGAAATGCCCCTGAATCTAGGACTGTGACCAAGGTACCAAACAGTGGAGAGCAAACTCATCATTGACGTTATCAAACGGTGTGCAGTTGGTTACATGGCATGTTTGCGGAGTACGGTAGGAGCAGACACCCCCGAGACATGGCCTTCCCAAGTACTGGTAGTCAAGAGGGGTGAACGAACTGGGAAAGACATGCCTGAGGTACAAAACGTTGCCCGGTGACGTGCCACAATTGTGCTGGCCACCGAACCCACCGCCTATTATCCCTATGCCAAGGCGTTTGGAATGCGGCTTCTGTGCCCCCAAGCATTCTGGTCTCATTGCCATACAGCTCTGTATCTGCGTCCTCTCCATGAACGATCGGTGTGGATTCCTCTCGAGGTCTTCTGGATGCTGTCCATTCCCAGCCGCCAGCTGAATGGCCAAGTTTCCTGAGGTTGGACCGGTTGGACCTAGCTGTGAACATAATTATTTAGTTTTGGAAAAGGTGGGTTACGAATGGAGTAAGAAGTCGACAGTGCCTTACTGTCGGACATCCCTGAACACTTGGAGATCAGGCCCCTCGCACGCAATCAATACACATATGTATGTGCTAGAGCCGCTAAGGCGGCGGTGGATAGAGGAAGTCAATCGCAGGTTGACATAGATTTAGAGAAGGAGCACAAGTAATGTGTTGGGACTGGCAGCGACTTCCTTCAAGTAGCCTCATATACCTGGCCAAGCTGCGCGTGCCATCGAAGCGTATGAAGCTGGAAGGTAAGAATGGTAAGATAGCTAAGTACGTACCTTAAAAAGACAGCTATCAAAGCTACTTGGCTAAGTCCAATAGGACTAGCATGATGAATAGGGCGGCTTACCTAATCGTTTGGTCGTGCCGCTGGCCTGATTATCTAAGGTAGCCGTGTTGACTAAACCGTAAGGCTGAAGACCAGCCCCAAATCCGCTCATTCAACAATATAACAACCATACACTGTCATTGTTGGCCAAGCGATGCTTACTTCTAAGGCTTTATAGCTGGTTACTTTATACTTGTCTTACTTCTAATCTATAATTTATAAGTTAAAGATCAGACGGACTCACCTAAATGCCTGTGGTGGACAGAGACCTTCTCTTGCAATGCTTGACCCTTTGACCGCCTTAAGTATCGCGAGCTCTGTCATCCAGATCGTCGACTTCGGATGTAAGCTAGTTTCACAAAGTCAAGAGATATACTATTCCGCCAATGGCGCGACAAAAGATAATGTGACAAGTGGCGAGATTACTAAGGATATCAACCTCCTATACAAGGATCTAACCAGTAAGGACCAAAACTTCCAAATGCTAGACGACGATGACAGAGCACTTGGAAAGCTCGTCGGTGCATGCCTGCGAGAAGTAGAAGCATTGATGAACCTCCTGGCGGAGTTGGAGGTGCCGCCAGATGCAACGCAATGGAAAAGCTTCAAGAACGCCATCAAAAGTGCACGAAAGAAAGGGAAGGTCAAGGATATTGAGACACGATTGCTCAAGATACAGAAGCAGATTGATTCTCGATTACAAGTAATGATGACGTACGTATCGCCAAATTTGTGATACAGTTTACTCGACTAACTCCTTCGCTTTAGCAACCAGCAGTCTGAACTATCCAAGCGAATGAACCACATCTCCAAGGAGCATACCCTAATGCAGATCGAGAGCGTTCACCACATGGAGCAGCTAAAGGCTGACATTCGGAGATACGCCGCGCGACAGGCTGATGACAGCAATCGCGCCCAGATCCTAATTCAGAAACTCGGCGACCTGGCCGAAGAAGGTCACAGAGTGGCGAATGAAGAAAAAATCCTCAAGAGCCTTGAGTTCACCGAGTGGAAGCGCAGATTCAATGATGTTCACAAAGCTCACACGCAGACTTTCGATTGGATGTTGGAAGACTCCAAGGACCCTGCCATACCACCCACAGGCTTCAAGGAGTGGCTCCAAGGTAAAAATGGTATCTATTGGATCTCTGGGAAAGCAGGGTCTGGGAAATCCACTCTCATGAAGTTCCTCGCCGAGAACCCACGCGTTAGCCACTATCTCCAAGATTGGGCGGGTCTTTCTGCAAAACCGGTATTGATCTCCTGGTTTTTCTGGGCTGTTGGATCGGCTATGCAGAAGTCCAAAGAAGGTCTCTTTCAGTCGCTGCTATTCCAGATTCTGAGACGATGCCCTAATCTCATTCCGATTGTCTGCGAAAGTAGATGGCAAGAAGATAGTGCATACGGCGAAGAGAGCGATCCATGGACCCTTGAGGAACTCGACGCTGCTTTTGTCATCATATCAAACCAGCCCACGCCCGGGATACTGTTCTGCATGTTCATTGATGGCTTGGACGAATATGATGGACGACCCACCGAAATTATAGACAGGCTCCAACTCTTGGCAAAAGCTGAAAACATCAAAATGTGTCTCGCCAGTCGTCCTTGGACTCCATTCAGGATAGCTTTCGCTGAAGGGAACTGCGATGGCTCACTTCTACTCGAAAGACATACGAAGCATGATATCGAGCGCTTCGTGAGGGATATACTAGAGAAAGATAAAAGATTCACCCAAGCAGAGCGAATAGACAAGAAATATGGTTTGTTTGTCCATGAAGTGATTGAAAGAGCCCTCGGTGTATTCTTGTGGGTGTTCTTGGTAGTCAATCAGCTTTTGAAAGGATTGGGAGAGCGGAACAAATTAGAAGACCTCCAAGCAAAACTCGACACAATGCCGAAAGACTTGGAATCTTATTTCAAGCAAATATTCGATGGAATTGACACAGCACACCGGACGGAATCTGCCAAGGTGTTCCTTCTGACGACCCATGCTGTGCAGCCACTCTCTGTTGCCTGCTATCGCTATCTCGAGAAAGAACATCGCGAGCCGGGCTACGCGCTTGAAGCGTTGATCGAGCCGATGTCCCCAGAACAACTGACGCTCGTACACGAAGATGTTAGGGATCGGATCAATTTCCTGTGCAAAGACTTACTCGAGGTGAATGAGACCCTTACCGACCAAAGGCTTGATTATCAAGTGGACTTCCTCCATAGAACTGTAAGCGATTTTCTCATGGAAAAGGACATGTACCAAGACCTGGTTCAACGCGCGACCGACAACGATACAGCCAAATGGGATCCTCACCAAGCACTCTGCTACGTAGAGCTGGCCAGAGCGAAGAGCTTGCCTCTCAAACATGGCATTCAAAACCGACTCAACGTCGTGTTTTCTCTCGTTGACACACTCATGTTCTATGCCCACGAAGTTGAAATAGAGCAGAAAGCGCCACAGACCAAATTACTAGAACAACTCGATCGAGTCATCTCGGACTACGCTGATAATGGTATGGTCTATCACTGGACAAATGCTCGCGATCCACCAAGAGGCTTGTACTTCGACGAATACAACTACAACAGCTTTCTCGCGTTGGCAGTTCAGAGTCGCCTAGGCTTGTATGTCAAGGAGAAGCTCGATAGCAAACCTAACCTTCTGCGCGCCAAAAGTGGCCGCCCGTTTCTGGATTACGCACTGCGACCCAATATTGTAACCCCGACTAGACTTCCGCAACTTGTGGAGTTTATCGATTTCGACATGGTTCGCTTGCTTCTGGACAAGGGAGCCAACCCCAACGAAAAGGTATCGATTTACGGCAACATCACCGTCTGGGCGCTTTTCCTCCTCTCATGCTACGAGAAAAAGGATATCAAAAGTTCCCAAGCCAAAGAAACCTGGTTCAAAGCGGCGGAGTTGATGATCAGAAAAGGCGCTGATAGGAAGCTGAAGCTTGAGACTACGCGGCGAGAAAAAATGGCGAACCACTTAGAGGCGGAGACGGCTGCGCTGGTGAAGACGGCAAAGTATCGAAGAGTGGTCACTCGAGGAGGGATTATTGAAGTAGATGTCCCAGTGGAGCTCACGGCTGTGAGTATCTTGAGGGAGATCTTCGGCGATGGCAAGATTGCGGAGATAGAGGCTATTGTGCCCGAGACATCGAGCTGGAGTGTGTGGAACTTGATACCCTGGACTTGACTTCACGACCTGCTTATGAAGGTGGAGGTTAAACAACATGCCATTTCTGTTGAACTGACGACGTTTTCCTTGGTTCGATCGGCACACGGCCAAAGGAGTCAGCAACTTCGATCTAATGGGTTAGCATCGCTATTTGATGATGACGAGCCAGAGCCATAGCCAGATACCTGATCTCTGAGCAGGCTTCGTCCATTGATGCTAACGAGATCGTCCGAACGCTGGAAAATTTGACAAAAACCGATTGGGACTTCCATGAGCTCAGGGGTGGGCGGTTGATGAGAGGACCGGTTGTCATACCTACTGGTAAGTCATTATTTAGTGGGCAAATCCAACGCTTCGGTCTCCGAATCCCAAATCTCCTCTTCACGCCAACACGCCCCAACTAGCACATGGATGGAGCTTCAGCTCCAGTTTTCAGTGGTGAACCACGAAGTGTGATTCCCTTCATACTGGAAGTGACAAGCCTTGAAAACATGAATCACCATCAGTCACCCTCACACCAGATTCACACGGGTCGCGGTAATCCAGTCCACAGTCCGACCTTCTGCTTCGTCAACGAGTTTCTCGCCTAGAATCCGAGTTACGACACCGTGGATTGTCAATTCACACGGTCTCACTTTTGACTTGGTGATCAAAACCTCAGTCATATTGGAATCAGAATCAGAGCACCACGCTTCCGTCAATGTCTAAGACTCGGTCGTGTTAAAGTGGACTCTTGGATGCCTTATCCTTGACATCTAAATCAAAAGGTAATCCCCGCGCTATCATCCCACCATAGGAGCTCGATGAGTTGGCTGGTAAGAAGAGGTCTATCGGAAACCTCAACACAAAGCCAAATGGCCGAAACAGCCCGGTTTTTTCTAGCACAGACCTGCCCGTGTCAGACCAGGTACCATTGCTATCACGCGGATGAGCTGGTCGACATAAGAGAATGGAGATGCAGTAAAAGTCATGCATAGAGGGCGAACATTCCGAACGAAGCTGTTGAAGGTCTACAGTTTCCGGCGCGTTGCCAGAATAAAGTGACAATGTTTACGAACTTTTCCTGAATTTCGTCAATTTACCTGCAAGGGAATTGCTTTTTATGCGTTTCATCCTCTTGATCCGACATGGTTTGATAGCAAAAGCCGATTTGTTCTGGTCGATACCCACAGAAGTATGCGCAAATGAAAAGAAAGAGAGCTTTCTCCTCCTGGGATTCGGAAAGTTTTCAATTCCCTCTGTGCATGACTTTTGCTATACTCTCTTACTACTTACCCGATTTCCCGGTAGCTGTTGGATGCGAGCGAGTAGCTCCTACGGAAGGACGCCGAGCCGGCGAGGTCTTGATCGATATATCGAGTGTGCCGCGTAGCACCATGGGCGCTGTCAGTGTTACCATAACGGGCTAATTTTACGTTGAATATCGAACTATCGATCGTTTTTCCCCACCAGATGGGATTCGAGACTCTTCTCTTTCGAAAACTTGTCTTTTGAGTCCTTCAAACGGTCAGGACTTCGATTCGCCAGTATCCCAGCCTTTCAGCAAACTCAACGATACTGTGACTACAAACCGAAGCCGTGACCGATGCGATTTTCCCTCCTTGAGTCATTCTGTCGAACTTCGTCGCTGCTCGTTCCAGCACCTGTTCATTGTTTTCAACCCCGAGTGGAGGTTGTCAGTAAATGTGTTGTTGATGACAAGCTGGAGTCGATTAGGTTCTATGTCATCGGTCTTCTCGGTATCATTCAAGCTAGTCGCCGAATAAGCGAGGAGAGCAGTGCCGGATGCTACAATGAGAGACATCTGGTTATATACCTTTGTACATATATACCACTTGATGGCGCCCAAGATTGCTTCGGTAATAGACATTTATGTATACCACAAGCGTCGCAGAACGTTGTGCGTCCTCACTCCACCCGGCTACTACTCTCGGTAGTTTCTCCACGGTGTAGAGAACGTTGGGGAAAGCTTTGGGCGGAAGTGGGGGCCCCAATTGCAATACATTATCATCAGTTCATATTATCTCAAGACTGCGGTCCACAAGAAGCATTCGCACTGTGATGTTTTCTCTTGTGTCCTGCTCTTCTCGACACAATTCCCGTCATCAGGTATAAAATTTCTTGGACTGAAGCCCTAATTTGACGGTGAAACAGTAATTCCAGCACATCAGACCGACACCTTTTTTGACTCCGAGTCTCCTGATTGCTGGCCGTCTGATATGTTTGATCTACCGCGACTGTCACTTTTGGCGGAGTCTCGCAGTCCAGGAAAAGCATGTGATAGGCGTGCTGCCCGAAAAAGTCGCATTTGCAGCTGTTCGAGTCCCCAAAATATTGAGATTGCTGAGTATGAGTCGCAGATCTTTTCTTTGTCGAATACAGTGCCTGGGTTGGGTTCATTCGACCGGGGTATCAAGGTGTGTTTGAAACTGAACGAGGCTGTTAGTGGGTAGGCGTTTAAGACTGTTACTTATTCTGGCAGCTTGCCTGAAGCTTTGCACAAGTCATCGTTATAAGAGAGCGTAGGATACCTGCCAAACTATGCTGCGTGGGGCCTTTCTGAGACTGGCGAGGCGAGGGCGCGTTGATAGTCACGCCAAGTCTATTATTAGATGTACCCAAGCTACGCGTATAATTGAGCAGGTCATCGTTGCCGAGCGGCAAGCAAGGGTCCTCGGTCACAGGCCACAAAAATAGTAAACAATTGCGCCCTGCCTGGAATACGAGAACCACTTCCAACTGATGCCACCATCCCCTCTCCGCTCTCTTCTTACTGCTAGACACCACCATTCTATCGCCTCAAAATTTGTATCGCGACGGTAGCGGCGCTGCTGCTCAATCACCCTCATGGTGTCCTTCTCCTGCGAGGTACCCATGCCCCTTGACTGGGCTTCACTACACATGCTAACGTTGGTGACTTATTGCAGGCTTGCGGAGATGTCCTCACCAAGAAGAAGCTCGACGCTCATCACCGCCAGTGTCAGGGTTCCTCATTTACTTGCCTGGATTGCATGACCCATTTTCGCGGAACGGATTTTAGGACTCATACCGTATGTCTATCCCGTCGCATAGCCTACAATAGATGCCTGTTCGCCTGGCTCCAACTCGCAACCGAATCTGCTAACTCCCCCTCCATTCGAATAGTCCTGCGTGTCCGAAGACCAAAAATACCAGGGAACGTTGTACAAAGAGAAGCCGGCGAAAAAGGCCAAGAAGTCGGTCAAGATATCAGAGCCTACATCACACGCCCCGCGCAAAGCCTACGTAGAAGATGCTCTAGACGAAGAGACAGGCAACGCCGTCTCCATCGTCAACGCTCCTCCTGCTGCTCCCACCCCACCTTCTGCTATCCCTTCTACACAGGATCAACATATCAACGTCTTCGACTTCCTCGTCTCGGGCGACACCCCTAATGCCTCGAAGACTAATATTGAAGGTATGAACGATTCTATGAAAATGGTGGAGCAATCGCCATCAATCCTTGGGAATGGCCATCGGGAAGCAGGACTAGGGATCTACGACGAAGCCTACGACAAACTTGGCTTCACATACGGTTCTGAGCCAATACCCGTTGCGAAAGAGAGGTTCAAGGTCGAGTACTTGACCCCGGCACCAAAGTCGGTATATATGCAAAACCCGAGCACGGACTCGGTGTACAATCTGGAGGATTCGGAGAGAAGATCAACGGACAAGAAGCGCAAACGTGTTCACGCCGAAGAGCTAGAATTCACTGCAGCTCGACGTCCCAGCCGTGAATCAGACCACATCATGGCCGACGCACCACCACCAATACTACACTCTGGTCTCACAGGCGGTCTCGGCCGCCTGCTTACAAAATCCAAATTTCCACCGAGGTCTGAGCTCTCGAATGGTGGCCGTGACCCACCCAGCCCAGTGAAGCGGACAATTAAGCCAGCCGCCAAGGAGAAAGATCGGGGTCGAAAAGCAGAATCGATCCTGGTCAAGGTCCGCAAAAGGCGGAGCTCAGACGAGTCTCGACCGCGCAAGCAGCGTCGCTCACATCACGAGTCAGATCGACATAGCCAACACAGCCACCACGATCGCCCCAAACGCAAAGCGATCGAATACCACACCCAAACCGATCCCGATGACTCCCAGCAACAGCTCGTACTCTTCAAGACCAGAGCAGAACTGTTCACGTCATTCGTGACCAAGGGTCCCGAAAGCGAGCAGGGTTATAGCTTGCACAAGGCGCTGAAAAGGTATCACCGTGAGAGAGGAGAGGAAGGGTTGGGTCTGGAGAAGGCGGATGAGGAGAAGGAGCTGTTCAAGGCGCTGAGGCTGAGGAGGAACGACAAGGGGGAGATTGTGGTTTTCTTCTGATCGATGCCATAGGGGGAACTTCCGACGAAGATTGTATGATCACGTGACGGTAGCATGATACCCAGAGCGCGGCGTTGGGGTATGTTAGATGATTTGTCCGACATGGGCATGAATGCTTCCAGACCTTTTTTATGCTCATAGAATATCATGATGATTATCCATTAATAAATTTCCCAAAGGTCTATGGCCCTATGCCCCTTCTTATTCTCCCTGGCATTGCTCCCTCTTGGCCGCTAGACCCTAGGAGCTCACCTATTACGGGAATACTGTCAGGCTGAAAGGGGCACTAAATATGCAACAAGGCTCAGAGTCGACTTGAGGTTTCCAATCTCACCCAACAAGTGGGCCCTCCAAAGATGCAACCAGCTCACACTCTTCCCCATTGCTTACATGCCAGTCATTATCATGGATTGGAAGCATCGCTAAAACAGACATCTCTGGACGCGCGCGTTGTCTCCTGGAGCGCGCACCTTCAGCAGTAAAGCAAATTTCTTCTTTCTTCAAACTGTACAAGCAATGACGGGACCGATTGCCTCGATTCTCAAGTTGAGCTAACTCATTGATTGATATTATCATTAACCTTAGCGATTAGAAAAGTGAGCCAACTCCCAAACCAAACCCCCCTTCCCAAGCGATGCAAACCCAACTCCCCTCCCCCCGAGCAATCGTTTGATAACATGAAAAAAAAAGATGGCAAATAAACACATCCCCAAGCCGCCGAAAAAGCACGCCAAAGCAAATCACAGACCGATCCCAGCAATGACGGTATTGACCACCGGGACCAGCGCCACCGCCCCACCGCTCGTGCTCACCGCCACCGCGTTCGTCACCACGACCGTGGTGAACCCGGTCCGGGTCACGGTCGCGACCGGCGTCGCGGAGCCCGCGGAGCCCGCGGCCACCGTGACCGTGACGAAGGTGCTCGGCGCCGTCGCGGTCACGCTGGGGAGGAGCTGGACCGTGCCGCCGAGCGTGGCTTGGACGAGTGAGTTTTGGATCGAGATTTCGAGACTGACGCAGGCTTCGTCGGGGCAGTTGTACGGTAGCAGGGTCGAGATCGGCGCGGGGGTGGCGGCTCCGCCTAAGATGGGTAGGGCCGGGAGGAGGGTGATTGTGGGGAGGATCGAGGTGGGGAGGACCGTGGGGACTGCGACTGTGGGGATGATGTCGGTGGAGAGGAGTTCGGTAGGGAGGACCGTGGGCACTGCAACTGTGGGGATGAGGTCGGTGGTGAGGATGGCTGTAGGGATAATATCCGTAGGGAGGACCGTAGGCACTGCAACTGTAGGGATGATGTCGGTGGAGAGGATGTCTGTAGGGATAATATCCGTAGGGACAACATCGGTAGGGAGGACAGTAGGAACTGCTACTGTAGGGATGATGTCGGTGGAGAGGATGTCTGTAGGGATAACATCGGTAGGGAGGACAGTAGGAACTGTTACTGTAGGCAGGATATCGGTAGGTAGGATATCGGTAGGGATAACATCGGTAGGGAGGACCATAGACACTGTAACTGTAGGGATGATGTCGGTGGTGAGGATGTCTGTAGGGACAACATCGGTAGGGAGGACATCGGTAGGGAGGACATCGGTAGGGAGGACAGTAGGAACTGCTACTGTAGGGATGATGTCGGTGGGGAGGATGTCTGTAGGGACAACATCGGTAGGGAGGACAGTAGGAACTGCTACTGTAGGGATAATGTCGGTAGGGAGGACATCGGTAGGGAGGACATCGGTAGGGAGGACATCGGTAGGGAGGACATCGGTAGGGAGAACATCGGTAGGGAGGATATCGGTAGGGATAATATCGGTAGGGAGGACAGTAGGAACTGCTACTGTAGGGATGATGTCGGTAGGGAGGATGTCTGTAGGGACAACATCGGTAGGGACGACATCGGTAGGGACGACCGTGGGCACTGCAACTGTAGGGATGATGTCGGTGGGGAGGATGTCTGTAGGTAGCGCGGTAGGGAGGATATCGGTCGGGACAATATCCGTAGGGACAACATCGGTAGGGAGGACCGTAGGCACTGCAACTGTAGGGATGATGTCGGTGGGGAGGATGTCTGTAGGTAGCGCGGTAGGGAGGATATCGGTCGGGACAATATCGGTCGGGACAATATCGGTAGGGACAACATCGGTAGGGAGGACCGTAGGCACTGCAACTGTAGGGATAATGTCGGTGGGGAGGATGTCTGTAGGTAGCGCGGTAGGGAGGACATCGGTAGGTAGGATATCTGTAGGTAGCACCGTCGGAAGAGTAGCTGTAGGGAGAATATCGGTGGGTAGGATATCAGTGGGAAGGATGTCGGTAGGGACAACATCGGTAGGGACAACGTCGGTGGGGAGGATATCGGTAGGGAGCGCCGTAGGTATCGCAACTGTAGGGAGAATATCGGTAGGCAGGATATCTGTAGGTAGCACCGTCGGAAGAGTAGCTGTAGGGAGAATATCGGTGGGTAGGATATCGGTGGGAAGAGCAGCTGTAGGGAGAATATCCGTGGGAAGGATATCGGTGGGGAGGATATCTGTCGGTAGCACCGTAGGGAGAGCAGCTGTAGGGAGAATATCCGTGGGAAGGATATCGGTGGGGAGGATATCTGTCGGTAGCACCGTAGGGAGAGCAGCTGTAGGTAGATTATCGGTAGGCAGGATATCTGTAGGAAGGATATCGGTAGGGAGAATATCGGTAGGTAATATATCTGTAGGGAGCGCTGTAGGTATTGCCACTGTAGGTAGAATATCGGTAGGCAGGATATCTGTAGGGAGGATATCGGTAGGCAGGATATTTGTAGGAACGATATCGGTAGGGAGAATATCGGTAGGTAAGATATCTGTAGGGAGGATATCTGTAGGTAGTACTGTAGGAATTGCAAGCGTAGGGAGGATATCGGTGGGTAGGATATCTGTCGGTAGCACTGTAGGAAGAGCAATTGTAGGTAGAATATTAGTAGGTAAGATATCGGTAGGTAGGATATTGGTAGGAAGGATGTCTGTAGGTAGTATCGTAGGAATTGCAAGTGTAGGGAGAATATTGGTAGGCAGGATATCTGTAGGAAGGATATCGGTGGGGAGGATATCGGTGGGGAGAATATTGGTAGGGAGGATATCGGTAGGTAGGATATCGGTAGGGAGAATATCGGTAGGTAGGATGCCTGTAGGGAGGATATCGGTAGGTAGAATGTCTGTAGGCAGGATGCCTGTAGGGAGGATATCGGTGGGGAGAATATCGGTAGGGAGGATGTTTGTAGGGAGGATATCGGTAGGTAGGATGTCTGTAGGCAGGATGCCTGTAGGGAGGATATCGGTGGGGAGAATATCGGTGGGGAGAATATCGGTAGGTAGGATGTTTGTAGGTAGGATATTTGTAGGGAGGATATTCGTAGGTAGGATATCTGTAGGCAGGATATCGGTGGGGAGGATATCGGTGGGTAGGATGTTTGTAGGAAGGATATCGGTAGGTAGAATGTCTGTAGGCAGGATGCCTGTAGGGAGGATATCGGTGGGGAGAATATCGGTAGGTAGGATATTTGTAGGGAGGATATTCGTAGGTAGGATATCTGTAGGCAGGATATTGGTGGGGAGGATATCGGTGGGGAGAATATTGGTAGGGAGAATATTGGTAGGTAGGATGCCTGTAGGGAGGATATCGGTAGGTAGAATGTCTGTAGGCAGGATGCCTGTAGGGAGGATATCGGTGGGGAGAATATCGGTAGGTAGGATGTTTGTAGGGAGGATATCGGTAGGTAGGATGCCTGTAGGGAGGATATCGGTAGGTAGGATGTCTGTAGGCAGGATGCCTGTAGGGAGGATATTGGTGGGGAGAATATCGGTGGGGAGAATATCGGTAGGTAGGATACCTGTAGGGAGGATATCGGTAGGTAGAATGTCTGTAGGTAGGATGCCTGTAGGGAGAATATCGGTAGGGAGGATGCCTGTAGGGAGGATATCGGTAGGTAGAATGTCTGTAGGGAGGATATCGGTGGGGAGAATATCGGTAGGGAGGATATTGGTAGGGAGGATATCGGTAGGTAGGATGTCTGTAGGCAGGATGCCTGTAGGGAGGATATTGGTGGGGAGAATATCGGTGGGGAGAATATCGGTAGGTAGGATACCTGTAGGGAGGATATCGGTAGGTAGAAGATTTGTAGGTAGAAGATTTGTAGGTAGAAGATTTGTAGGTAGGATGCCTGTAGGGAGGATATTGGTAGGGAGAATATCGGTAGGTAGGATGTCTGTAGGCAGGATGCCTGTAGGGAGGATATTGGTGGGGAGAATATCGGTGGGGAGAATATCGGTAGGTAGGATACCTGTAGGGAGGATATCGGTAGGTAGAAGATTTGTAGGTAGAAGATTTGTAGGTAGAAGATTTGTAGGTAGAAGATTTGTAGGTAGAAGATTTGTAGGTAGAAGATTTGTAGGTAGAAGATTTGTAGGTAGAAGATTTGTAGGTAGGATATTGGTAGGGAGAATATCGGTAGGTAGGATGCCTGTAGGGAGGATATCGGTAGGTAGAATGTTTGTAGGGAGGATATTGGTAGGGAGAATATCGGTAGGTAGGATGTCTGTAGGTAGAAGATTTGTAGGTAGAAGATTTGTAGGTAGGATGCCTGTAGGGAGGATATTGGTAGGGAGAATATCGGTAGGTAGGATGTCTGTAGGTAGAAGATTTGTAGGTAGAAGATTTGTAGGTAGAAGATTTGTAGGTAGGATGCCTGTAGGGAGGATATTGGTAGGGAGAGCATCGGTAGGTAGGATGTCTGTAGGCAGGATGCCTGTAGAGAGGATATTGGTAGGGAGAATATCGGTAGGTAGGATGTCTGTAGTGGGCGCAGGACTGGTAGACGTAGAAATTGTGTGCCTAGAACTCGAGATCGCAGGACTCGTGGTCACCAATCTCGTAGTCACTGAACTCGTAGACGTGGCGCTCTTTGTTGTGGGCAACGCGTTCAGTCCCAAAGTCACGCTGGCTTGTACACCTAAGGACAATGACACACAGATCTCGTCTTGGAGAAACCGAAGTCAGCCTTTGCCATTGACGAAGTAGGAGATATAAGCTTACTACCGCAACCAAATGGCAAAGAACTAGTAGAGGCGGTGCCGGCCCCGGCCCGTCCTGCATTGGACTCAGACACACAAGCAAGATCAGTGCATCCGTAGGGTAGGGAACTGGTGCTCGATGCGGTCACCGACTGGGAGCTGGCAGGTGTGGAGCTTGTCGTGTTGGCGTAGTGGGAGAAAGATTGACGTGAAGACAAACTGATGGCCCCAGTAACAGAAGCTAACGAAGCTACCACGTTGGACAATCTTTGCGTTGTGGCCGTAGAAGTGCTAGAGGTGGAGGAGGAATACGCTGCTAAGGCTTTCTGAGCGCGTTTCAACATTTTCAGACCGCCGCAAAATTCGTCCTGATCGTCTTTGCAGGGTACATTGCACACGCTGTCGGCTCCGCGCGCCGGAGCTGCTACAATGGAATCTCCGCATGTGCCTTGCACTGTTGTCAGTGTTTACATCCTTCTCAAGGATTGGTAGTCACCCACAGTCAACGCCAGATTCCAATGAGAAGTAGGTCGAGCCCAGACAGAGCAGTCCACACTGGTCTACATCTCCAACGGTATAGCTGGCAGCGACGGGCTGTATGTACTGGCCTTCAAAACATCCCACGTACACGTACGTTGCCCCTGCTATGGCGATTCGACTGGGGATAGATACTAGACTATTGGTGGAGCTAGCAGTAGCTGTAAGGCTGTTCGTCGAACTTGGAGATGTTAGTATTGGGACAGAGGATGCTATACCTGAGCCTAAATCTGTTAAGGTAGGTGAGACAGAACTGCCGAGCCCGGCATTCGAGCCAATCGCAGTTGTGATACTACCTGAAGGTAAGGAGGTGGTAACAGGTACAACGACCTCGACCAGACTCGATGTAAGGAAGCACACTTAGCACCTTTCTTAGCATGACCTCGATCCTTCGCTCCCGAGATCGACTTACCACTTTCTTCCTGAGCACTGGTGGTTGGAACATGTGTCAGTGCTACTAGAACCAATGGCAGAAACCAAAGACCGGCCATGTTTCGCTCGGCGGTGTGAGGGATTGGGGTTAATGGGGCTGTAACTGACCAGTCAAAGCCACCATGACTCCGTCTATATCTTTTCGACAGATGGTTGTGATCGGACGAGAGGAATGAATCCTTTCGCGGGCCCGTGAAACATGTGGGAAGCGAGATCAATGAGATTAAGCGAGGTCAAGCGAGATCAAGCGAGGTGTTTCGTGGGTATCAACAGAAAAACAAACGCGTGGGGAAAAGCATCACGTTTTTATGGAATGGAATTTGAGGAAGGGTGAGACAACAGGTGAAAGAACCACCACGCAGTAGTCAGGGTAGGAACCACCTTTTAGCGAGCTGAAAGAACAGTGAACGACAGCAAGCAGTGATCGAGCATGACATTTGCTGCACGTTGGTTTTGATGCATTGAATGAAAAGGCGAATATAGTCTGCAGCTTTCTGATGCACACGATCGAACAATCCGGAATGTGGCGTAGATACAAGAAATATTGTCCCCTTGCTTCAACCAACAGGGTAGCGCTTAATTATCGAAACGGTGATTTCCTGACTTCTTCTGAACAAACACGCTGGGGGGTATCTCTTACTAAAAAAGATTCGAAACGATAACATTTGCACATTGAAGATGTTGACGATTCCACCTCCCGTGAACAATCAACGATGATATGTTTCTATTGCTGGGCAGGAACAAACTTGGATCGAACCGCATTTGCGACTATGCATTAGATCAGCAATTTGCGTAGTCATCAGGGTCTGCTTAACCTACGCTTCATCACTCCTCCCATACCCGGGTAAGGACGGAACTTCTTGTTGGAGCTAGCCTGACTGGGTGGCTCATCGACATCCTCGTCCTCGTCTGAACTGCTGCTGCTATCATCGCTATCGCTGCTTGACTTGTCAGATCCAGACTTTCCTACAGGTGAAGCGCTAAGTGGCTGCGATGAGGAAGTGTCCAATTTCGGATTCACCCCTGGTGTGACTGCTTGAGGGACTTTCTGGAGCTCCGAGAGACGAGGATACTTGTAGTAGGCAGGGCGGATACCGTTAGGAAGGCGTCCGGCATGGTCTAGCCCTTGATTGATGACCTTGCCATCTGCACCGCCGTTGGTGGTTGAAGAAGACTGTTTAACGCGAGGTCTTGGTATCGATTGCTGAGACTCGAGCTGCAACTGTTTATCCGCCGCTTGATCGACGTGCTTGCCATCACCATGCATTGAGATAGCGCTGCGTGAGCAAGTAGACAAGGCTTGGCTTGACTGCGAAGACGCTTTGCTTTGTAAGTAGCCTTCCGGTTGTTTTACCCCGACATTGACGGCCTTGCTGGACCCCTCCACAGTGACAGGTGCCAGCTTGCCATTCTTTGCCCCAGTTGGCGTCTTAGATGATGACGCTTGGAGTTGTACCCATGCGTCAGACTCCAACTCTGAATCCGAAGCTATACTGGAAGCGGAACCAGAGCTCAACGACAACGTTTCGGACAAAGCCAGGGCCGGGGATCGAGAGGTTGATTTCTGCAGAGACGTGGTGTTCAATTTAGATGTGGAGCGAGGGAGAGTAGCTGGAGCTGCTGTTCTGTGCTTTTCGACTCTGATGTTGCGGAGAACAGGGTCTAAAGCTACACCTGAAGATTTCACTTCCGCAGTCTTCTTTTCTTGAGAAGTTGTGACGGGGAAGATGGGCTTCCTTGCACTCGGCCCAGCTTCGGCATTGCCGGTCTGCCACACTGGTTCCTCTGAGGTGCTTGTATCTTCGCCAGATGAAAGAACTATCTCCTTCTCTGGCGCCCGCTTGGACATAATTGGAGGATCAACGGCACGACCCTTCTTCTTCTTCACCTCTCTGGTCACATTGAGCTTCGTCTGGACCTTGCCATTCTTGGCAGGAATTTTCGTGATTTTGCTGTCCGATGATTTCTTGGGAATGAGAGATTTCATGGGCGTTTCCGAAGGCGCGATGGATGCTGTTCTGGAAGGATTCTTCGGAGGATTTGTTGCGGATGATGACTTGGTGGCAAGCTCGTTGTTGATTCCTTTGAGAGACCTGGACTTCGAGGTCGGAGGAATGTACTCATTGAGCTTGGCCCGTGGCGGCACGTCGAAAGATACAGAAGACACAGACCGACGCAGCGCACTTGGAGTGTGTCGAAGGGCACTTCGAAGTGGCGCATCCATGTTCCCTGAAGATCGGCTGCTTGAAGGACTTGACCTCAAGGAACCCTCGTATGGAGAAAATTTGGTGACAGAACATCCGGGTATGACCGGCGTCATAGACCGCTTTCGACCTGCAATATTGGAGGATGCTGAAGGATCTGTTGAAGCTCGACTTCGCATCTCCGGAGAATCTCTCAGCGTCTGCACGTCTCCGTCTGCTAAATTTTTTAAACCTTGCTCCCTCAACGCCGTCGTCGTCTCTTGCGCTGTCCCGGCTCGATGGGCTCGATGCTTGGTGTCTTTGGAATCGATGTCTGCGGGCTTTTGGGGGTTCTCTCGTGCACGCTGTTCTTCGCGAGCTTTCTTCTCACGGTTCTTGCCTTGCGCTTCTCTGGTTTTCTCGTCGGCTTTTGCCTCATCAGCTTGTTTCTTGGCTGCCAGCTCTTTGAGCCTTGCCTTTTCCCTTTCCCTTTCCTTTTCCTTTTCCTTTTCCTTTTCCTTCTTCTCTGCCTCAATTTGCTTGGCGCCTTCTGCTGCCAGCATCACTTTGTTAGCTTCTTCTGCTAACGCCGTCTCCTTGGTTTGCCGTTCGCGAGCCAGCTTCTCGGTGATCTTCTTTTCTTCTGCTAGTCGCGCTGCGTTCACCCTTTTCTCCTCAATGCGCTGGGCCTCCGCAAGCTCTTCCTCTTTTGCCTTTGCCTTCTTTGCCTGCGCTGACTCTTCAGCTCTGGCTTTCTTTTCTTTTGCTTCTCTTACGTCTGCTAGTCTTTCCTCGTTGGCTCTGCGCTCGGCTACCTCCTTCTTTGCCACGTTTTCCTTTTCCAAGGTATCTCGGGCTAGTTTCTTCTCTTCATCTTTCTTTTCTCTAATTCTCTTCTTCTCCTGTAGTTCTTCGGCTTCTTCAGCCAGTCGTTCTGCTTCTCGAGCGAAGCGATTGTCACCCGGATTGCGAACTACACCATTGGCATCATGATCTAAGCACACTGTTTCATCTGGTTTCTGCCCCTGGCTTGATACGTGATTGCCTCTTTGCTGGACAATTGATTCTGCTGTGCCATTGGCAGACTTATTGGAATCTTGCGACCAGGCAGTGTTAGCTTGAGATGAGGTCTGGGTCGCATCCACAAGGTCATTATGAACAGTAGTTTCTTTCGGTGTTTCTCGATCTAAGTTTGTTCGGTCATTATCGTAAGGCTCAGACTGTGCGTGCTCAAGAGGCTCGGCATCATGTTTGCCATGCCGCTTCGGAACATTCTGATCGCTCATGTTTTCATCCCTGGGGTCTCGTCTTGGCTTTTGGATTTTCTCGCACTGTGCTGGGCTGGTGACTTCACTTAGGGATATGGAAGCCCCATTCTTACGCGATTGCGGAAAAGTGGGCACGAGGAACTGGCCGTCTCTGCGATCTGCTCCTGCTTCGTCCGATTCCTTAGGCGATGTGAAGCTTGCGGCAGTCGTTTTGCTGGATTTGAGGCGCTTCGCACTTTGCATTTGCTGTTTTTCATGAAAGCTCTCAGTGTCTGATTCGATAGGGTCAAAGATGGGATCTGAGCTGCGCAAAGTTCTACTGCTGCTCCCGACGTTTTGTGCGTGTTCTGGTTCTGCTGTCGAGCGTAGGTGCCTAGGGGTTTGATTGACGTTGGCTGCCTTCTCCCCTATTTGCCTTACACCGATACCATGGTTCTTCGCATACTCGTCGACAATCTGCGGAATTGATACTGGTTGCAATGCCGAGCTGAAGATGAAGGGGGTCGTTGAAGGTTCTGGCGGATTTGCACTGGTAGTAGGCTGTTCGCCAGATGCATTGATTGTGCCCGCGGGTGGTACTTCATGAACCGACGCTCTGAGCTCTGGTGATTCTGATTTTGTGCTCTCACGATCGAGTTGCATAGCTCCTCCAAAAGCTCTGCCGACCGCTGTTGTTTCTCTGCCAAGTGGTGAGTCCGGTATCGCGGCGAGGTCGACCTCATTGCCAGGGATAGACTCTTGTGGACCGACAAGGGTAAGGGACGTTGGGGTACCGTACGGGTTTAAATCTGTATGCTAATTTAACAGTGCAACAAGGAGATGCGACAACCAAGACGTACGCTTCTTTCCAGGCGATATCTGCGAGTCAAGGACCTGATGAATCGATTCCTGCGTCCCAGAAGTCTGAGATGAGTGATACAGCCCATCTCGCTGTCCCTCGCCCATTCTCAACGGCTGGTGGGCAGCGGATGTCCTGTTAAGCCTTGATTCGTACGTGCGCTGCCGCTTGGTTGCTGTCCCGAACGGCCTATCGGGCTCAGCATCCGACTCTTCGATACTTGGTATTTCACGATGTATGTTTCGTGAGTGCTGTGAAGGGTAGGACAGTGAAGATTGCTCAAAAGGCCGTTTGTGTGGTCTTGCGGATGAATCTGGGGCCAGCGAGGTAAAGCGTTGTAGAGTACCGAGTTCGACTGACTGGGGTGGATACCTGTGGACCTCCAGGATCGAATTTCGGATATTGCCGTCATTTCCTCTATCGTCAAAGAGGTCGCCAACGATTCGCTGCTCCAGATCCACAAAATCGCCGTAGGCAGTCTTGAGATATCGAATATTCAATGGCCTGGTTGATCGCGGACTCGAGTCAGCAGAGAAGGGAAGTGGGCTTTCCCTGGTGCGACTCACCCCATGGAACCCTCGAACATCCTTCCCCATGAAATGTAGATTTTATCGCAGACCTCCTGCATCGGAGTGTTTTCAGTGCATGGTTCGCACCACTTTACAGTCTCTTGACGCGTTTCGGCACTACTGAAGGGTGACGGGCGTGGCTGCTCCCAGGGCAGGACACAGATTTGAAGCCGTATGCGACTCATTTTGATAATATTTTAGAGCATACTTTTGAAGCTGCAGGCGAAGATGTGATGTAAAAATTCAATTGAAGCTGTGAGAAAGGGATAAGAGTCTGAGGGTGAGGGTGAACTTCTGTACGCGATTTTGTCAAAGCTCACTTTTAAGGTACCTAAGTAAGGTACTTCATTTGAACGGTTCGGCCCGCCGTTTGATCCGCAAGTTTTAGCCTCGGCGTTAAGATCTTCCCTCCGAGCCTTCCGAGCCTTCCGAGCCTTCCAAGAGTTGGAGTTGACTATGCAATCTCATTGCTTGCTATTGCTGGCAAGCCATTGTTGTGGAAACGGATGCGTTCACTTGATAAAATTCGCTGCTCAGAGTAATACGGGGGCCAATGGTAATCATAACAGATGATGTGTTGCTAGATATTCTCAAAATGTCTATAAACAAGCGATCAAGTAATGTCAACAACCCTCCAGCTCCATCCCCGCCAAAACAAAGCACCTTGCTGAGTCGACTTAAGTCAACAGTCTTCATCAACATCATCAAGCCTCTGCACCTCTATCCATGCTTAAAGGTCTGCTTCTCCTCGTAGGCGTCTTCGTGGTGGGTAAGGGCATTGACATCCAAGCTCATGTTCCTGGAAACGCTGCCTTGTCGTCCAGACTTGGAAAGGCCAGTCTCAGGGTCAATGACTGACTGGCCGCGTTGGGCAGCTTGGACGAGCTCGGGGTTTTGCTCCTTGAGGATAGCGAAGTTCTTTTCAGCTTCCCAATTCCAGATGCTATCAGAGGCAAAGAGAAGATTCATCTCCTCAAGAGTGCGCTGGTTGGACTCGGGATACAAGCAGTAGACCATGGGCAGCGTGATGATGTTGGCAACACCGAAGATGTAGTAAGTCTTTTGCTCGAGGGCCTTGAATATGACGGGCAGCAGAAGTGTGAGCCAGCCATTACCAATAGACCAGCCAACGACACCCCAGGCGTTACCCTTGGCACGGACCTCCAACGGGAAGATCTCAGCTGGGTAGAGCCATGGGACAGTGAGCCAGGTGGCGCCGAAAGTAGCCGTAAAGAGGAAGATCATAGCAACGGCACCGGAGCTGTAGCCTCTAGCGAGAGCAGAGCCAGCTGGGTGCTGAAGGCCAGCAGTCGACAAACCGCCAGCGAGGAACATAGAGATACCTTGGACGACTGAGCCCCAGTACAAGGTCCAGCGACGACCAATTCTGTCGAGGGTGAAGACACAAATGAGGGTAGCGAACTAGAGATGATCAGTATCCCGAGCAAACATCACACGCAAGGGGAAGTTTCGCAAGGGGAAGCTTACCATGTATGTGATGGTGTTCAATCCCGAAATCCATTGCACCTGTGCATTGGCAATACCAGCGGTACGGAAAATGGTGGGAGCGAAAATAGTCACACCGGCAATACCGATCCACTCTTGCATGATTTGGAGCCAGATGACCAATTGAACACGGCGACCAGTATGAAGCTTGCCGGAGCCGATACCGAAAAGCATGGAAATGTAGGATTGGGCCTTGGCGGTCTTGCGTTCGAGCTCGGCAATGTTGCGGATATCCTGGAATTCGGCCTCTGCCTTGCCCGCATCTTCACCCGTCTCACCACGGAGTCTTCCGAGGATATAACGGGCCTCTTCCTCTCGACCGACTTTGACGAGCCAACGCGGTGACTCGGGGAAGAGCCAGCAGATGGCGAAGAGGAGAAGCAATGGGGCGATCTGGAAAGCGATTGGGAATCTCCAAGTGAATTGTCCAGTTCCACCTTTGTAGAAGTTGGCGCCACTGAAAGAGAGTTAACAACCAGTTCAGACGTTGCATGAGTTTGCAATACACTCACTATTCGATCCAGTAAGCCACGACGACACCAAAGATGTTCAGCGTGAATTCAATGGCGACGAATTGTCCACGCGATTTGTGTTCGGCTGTCTCGGTGGCCCAAACCGGAACAATGGCGTTGAGCATTCCTGTACCCCATCCATTGACGAGACGGGCGCAGATCATCCAAGTGTGGTTTTGGGCCGATGTTTGAAGAGTAGCACCGAGGACGGCCCAACCAGCTCCGAGTCCGATTGTCTTGATACGGCCATAACGGTCACCAAACCAACCCCCAATGAGACAGCCGATGAGAGTACCGAGATAGTAGATGGAAACAATGCCACCTTGGAGAAGGGTGTTGTCGATGACTGGGGCACCTGTTTTGGGATCCTGGTGACCGAATTTCATGGTAGTGTCATAGTAGTCAACCGCACCGTTGACACCACCCATCATACCCTGATCATATCCGAAGAAGAAGATGGAAAGACCAGCAATACAATTGATCGCGATGAGAAGGCTACGCTTCTCAAGTTTGTGAACCACATTGGACCTGGGAATAATATCCATGGCGACGACTATCCGGAGTGCGTCGAGGTGTCAGATGCTTTGCGGACCAATGAACAGACTGGTACCCTGCTTGGCTTTGGAGAAGCAGAGTCGGAGTAAAGTCTGGAAGGGGGAGGTGTAGGAGAGGGGGAGAGAGAGAGAGAGAAGAGCGGTTTGAACTACGAATGTTGTGGGGAATGGGAGAGGCTTCTTATATCAACGTTCCGACGCACGCGAGGACTCTCTTGCCTGAATACCCACATTGGGGTAATGTGGAGACCCATGGGGCAAAGACGAAACACGCCTGGTAGGAGATATGTGGACGGCAAGCAGGGATCAATCTACCGTGTCCATTGGAACCGCGAGAAGTGTGAGTGCATGACTGGTATCTGCCGGCGCGCTACTTGAACTCTGGTCGAATGCGCGAGTCGCAAGGCGTGCATACCAGTCCAGTGCATCCTTTGCAGCGCCTGGTCGCGTCCATCGGGCCTCGCATTATTTCACGAGATGCACATGATCAGCAAGTCTCGTCAAGTTTAAGGGTAAGCTTGGAGTTCATGCTAGGTACCTAGCCAGGCGTTGAGGGTGCAACTTTAACCGTGGATCGGTAGCATACCGAAGGGTAGAAGCGCAGACATCTGACTTGAGCTGATATAGCCGCTTCAACATGAGTGAGCTCAGTAGCTTGGCCTAGCCGCCTGCCTCCAGCCATCGCGCACTTTGGAGCAATCAACATCCCGGCTCACCTCGATCCTCAGCTTACCCCACTGCATTGCCTCGATCGGGAAATGCTCCAGAAGTACGCTAGAAGTACTTTATTGCACTGGTCGCAACGCTAAAATTCCTTCTCTGCGCCTCACCTCCAATCAACCACTACCTCCATTGTCAGCGCTGTAGCGCGACCAATTCTTCAAGCAGCAGGCTGCCGAGAAGGCAAAGATGGTGGTGTCGTGCATCAGCTGCATCATCGAATTCTTCCAGACTAAAGTACCTAGCTCTATTGAGAGGGTCTCTTGGTGTGGAAGAATAAGTCATGGAGAACAAAACGAGGAGCTCTGGAAGAAAAGCGGTGCTATCAATGTCCATGCCATGCCCTACCTCAGAGGTTCGCAAAAGCGAGTGCCCACGGAAGGCCTGGCGTCGAGGAAGAAAGGATGCCATAGGAGTCGAAAGCCGATAACAGGGCGATTATCGAAACGTTGTCAGCGCATTAACGCGCGCCAGTAGTGGGACTGAGAGTGGGAGATGGCAGATTGGTCAAGTTTAGCCTTCACCCCTTGGCTGCAACCGATGCAGCCATGCAGCCTCCCAGCCTCGTTCCGACTCCCACACCATCCTACCCCCACGCGCAAGCTGCAGGTAGGTCGGGCTAACCTTCCTGCACTACCTACCTACCATAATCTCGACCAAGCAATTCACCACATCACTTTTCGTCCCATCCTCCATCGCTCCATCGTAGCAGATGCTTGGTCACCGACAGCCCTGTCTGCTGCGCTTGCTCAAAATGATTGTGAACAGATGCATGCCAAGATTCAATGTATGCGTGTTCAGTCTCATTGGCTTCTCTGGTGCCATCAACCGAGTGTCTGGATCTCGGAATTTTGATCTCTCCCTGCCGATCTTCTGACAAGCAGAATGGAGGTTTGGGGGTTGGAGGTTGGATCGCATATACTTCTTTTACGCTTACGCATCCCACACTCCCATGGCCCCTTCGGCCCAAAGGAGAGTGCGCAGTCCCAAAAGCAAAAGCTTGGTTCACAGCTCGGAAAGATGCGATCACAGATACTCTCCGGCACTCCATGCGGTTTCTCATGTTCCAGGTTTGTCATGCTTCTTTTCACGGCCTCGATAGGTAGCTGGAACTGGGGTATCGAGTTTCATTAATGCTACATGCGGTCCACCCCACTTTCAATCACTTCATTCGGCCATCTGCCTAGCATCTACAGAATCCTCAACGTGATCATGCTTGTGACATATCAACGTTTCATGTAACGAGTTTCCAGGATCTGAACGCAGAGCTATGGCGCGATAGGGATGCCTCTCCGGGACCCAAGCGATCTTCTGCGATTGCAATGATTCCACACAATCAGCACACCAAGCGTGAGGTCGATGCTCTGTCACCGAAAGCTCTCCAGTCGCCTTACAGCTCTTCTACGGGCGTCAACGAAAACCTATCTCTAGATCTCTCGGGTCAAACTGAAAATGGGAGTCTCGAAGGATCTACTGCAATAATGATTCGGACGCCTGATGCAGGCCACTGAATGTCTGCATCGCTTTCTTCATCTGAGGTTCCGAATTCTCCGTCGTCGCTGCATCCTTCCCAAAATGTCAGAGGAAGAGAATCGTAAAATCGACTAGCAAGCTAGCCCATGATGCAGGTCAAGTCCTAGGCGCTACTCCACAATTCCAGCATGAGTTCCAACAAGAAGACCCCCACATTTTAATCCCTCATTGGGTGCTTAAGAGCATCCTTTT